TACAGTGTTGGCTACATAGAAAAGTACTTGTACCTACATGCTCCCAGCCAACACTATGAACATACCTTATACATTTTCCCACAAATCTGTTAGGGGAGATCAGATGCTTTATTTCCACCATATAATGTTCTTACCACATTCAGTACCCAACAACTCCATATTATTGAAAACTAATATGTAATTCAGATCTATTAATTTTATCATATAGTTTCTCTAAATCAACAAATGTATACTATCCTTTTTTCCCCATATTCATGAGTTTCTCAAGGCCTGCTAAAGAGCAAAAATCTAATCTTATCTGGTGTAAAGAACTTCCCAAATTTTGCTCGTTGTTTCTTCTTGTACCTTTTCAATCAGCATTCTGCCAAACAGTTTCTCAGGAACACTTTAGTTTATAGATGTACTTCTGCAGTCTTTTCCTTTGTATAGGGAAACAGAAATGACATTCTTCCAATTGTCAAGCATGGATGCTGTCTTCACACACATATTCAACATATTGCAAAGTCATTCCATTAGCAAACCACATCCATATTTTAATATTTCTCCAGTTACACCATCTATATCTGACCATTTTTAAAAACACCTTCACAACATCTATGTCTTCCTTTTTATCATTTTTTCCTTAGATATTAACGTTTAATCATTTCTTTCAATTGCACTCTTTGACATATCACTGTCATTCCCATACAAAATCTTCAAAATACTCCTTCCAAGCATTCCTTCCTTCACTTCAGTTTCATCCCAAATCATTTCATCACTTTTATTTTTAATTTCATTTATTCTGCTGGAGTCTGCTCATTTATCCCTCTTCACCTACTTTCAAAACATTTTTGTTTTATCTTCACCGAAATTGCATTTTCTGAGCCTCTTTTAACCACTCCTTGCTTTCTTTGGCTATCTTTTTGCAATTATTTTTCTCTCTATTTACATATTATGCAATATATTTTCTCATTTGTTGCAGCAATCATTCTCTTATATGCCCTTCTTTCCTCATGCAGAATCTCTTTTACTTCATCATTCCATCAAGCATCCTTTTTCATAACTTCTCATGCTTCTGTGGCACTTTGTAGCATAATTCTTTTCACTCTATTTCAAGCAGCTTCTACATCCTCTTTCTTTATGTCCCCTTTCCTCCATCCTGTTGGTGGATCAATCTCTCTTCTAACGTTTTTTATTTTATTTTTCTCCCCATGGAGGAATTGTACTTTCTTCCTGCAGTCATTCTATTGTCACTCATTCATCTCTGGTTAGAACTGAAAATAATGCTTGGAACAGAGGAACAAAAAAATAACAGACAAACATAATTAGGACTAATGAAATTAAAGGGTACTTGGAAGCTAGTATTCTTGATTCTATAACCTGAGGTTTTCCTTCAAATAATGTGATTAAGCTTGTAGAACACTTCATTCCAAGGCTCTGCTAACAAAGAGGCAGGAAGAATATTTATGGTAATAACTTCATTGATTAATCTAAACAAAATACACAAGATTACTGCCTTCATCCATATGGGTTTATACTGAGCTGACATGGGCACAGCTACTTTATATTATATGGAACTCACAGATGCTCCAAATTGTTGTTCTTGCTGCTGCTGCTGCTTTTATTGTTGTCAGGATCTTCTCACTCAGGAAAAAAATGGGCAAAATATATTCCATATTTCAACAAGAAACTGAGAATTTGCCTAGCACAGTGACAGTTTTTTCAGTCAACTAGCAAGATATTTCTGTATAATAAATGAAGTACATTTTATTGCATTTATTTATTCAAATAACCATATTTAGTAATGTGCTATATAAAAAGCCAGCCCACCTGCCGCTTGCTTGCTTGCTTTCTTTCTTTCTTTCTTTCTTTCTTTCTTTCTTTCTTTCTTTCTTTCTTTCTTTCTTTCTTTCTTTCTTTCTTTCTTTCTTTCTTTCAGTTTAAGATCAATCAAACCAAAAAGAGAAGGAAGCAAATTTGATGGATGGATTTTCTTGGGATTTTAATCTTTGAAAAAAATTGTTGGGTGGCAACAAAAAAATTAAATCAGAGAAATGGTTAGATAGGGAATAGATGGGATAAGAAGAGGTACTTGTCCCTAAATGTCTACTTGTATTATACAATGTGAAGCTGCTGCTGCATTTGCACTTCCCCATGCAAAACTCCTACACAATCTGGGGTCCTCCTGCTTGAAGAGCAGGGAGAAACTGTGGCCAAGAGGGTCTTTGCACAGGTTCATCTGGTACACCAGTTGCATCTGTTCCTGGACTAAGAGGCCATTCAGACAGTCTCTAATGACTCTCAATTGAACTATTGTAAAGCACTCTACATGGGGCTGCCTTTAAAGATCACCTGGAAACTACAGTTAGTCCAGAATGTAGCAGCATGGCAGTGATGGGGTGTAGTGGAATGCACACATGTCTCTGTTCCTTTGTGAGCTTCATTGGCTGCCAGTTGGCTTCTGGGTGCAATTCAAGGTACTGGTTATCACCCATAAAGCCCTTCATGGCATATGGCCTGGCAGGACTGCTTGTCTCCATATGTTTCCACCCATCTGTTGAGGTCAAGTAGAATAGGCACGCTCTGGGTCCCATTGATTAAGTAGTGACAGCTTGCAGGACCCAGGAAGTGTGCCTTCTCAGTGATGGCTCCTACCCTGTAGAATGACAGCATCCTAGAAATCCATACTATTCCCACGTTTTTTATTTTTTACAAATTGCTAAAAAGCTGGTGGTTCTCCCAGGTTTTGGATTAAGATGGAGGTTGAGCCCCTTTGTTTTTTAATCCTACTTTCTGGTCAGCTGTATTCTTCTTCTTTGATATATGTTGTTTTCTTTTTAATTTTGAAATTGTAAGCCACCTGAGTCACTGTGGAGTCAGGTGACCTCAAATTTGAAATAATACATACTTTATATGCCTCTGTAGGTTCCAGGCAGCCTAGGACTTTATATATCAATTCCATGCCAGCATCACTTAGCTTTCTTATTGGTGAGTAACTATAGCTCAGCATGCTGGGGGTCTTTTGGCCAATCTCAGGCATTACTATTTTAAAAACAGGCCAGGTGATAATACATATTCCAATGATTAGAAGAGCAGTGCCAGTCAGCATAGTAAACACTGGACTAGACTGACTATGTTTGATCTATGTAAAGCCCTGTAATGTAAGAGTGGGTTCCTGCATTACTAAAATTACATTTAGTAATTTACAAAACTACATTTACACCCTTGCAATCCAGTTGTCCCAAAAGTAAAACTGTGTGTCCCAATCCAGTGCTTTCCAGATTTATTGGGACTCCAACTCCTTAAAATAAATGCAGTCCACTCTAGTGGGTGGAAAATGTTAAAGCATCTCCTAATCAAGGTGACCAATAAATTATGTTTATTGCTACCCTTCAAGCCAACCAATCAATGACTGTCTTTCCAGCGGTCTGTGAGTGCCTATCCCATGGCAGATGAACATGCATAGATTCCGCAACTGGTAAAGAAACTCATTCACGTTGCTCTCTCAACAGAAGAAGAAAGAGAAAAGACTTGCTAGTAATTTTATTCCCCTTTCCTTCTGTTTCCCAACCTCCTTTGTCCTGTTGCATTGCAAATAAAACACAAGAATGTTGGAAAGCATCCCAGTGTTTTAAAGCTGCCATCTGAACAAGGTGAAGGCAAAGAAGATCAACTAATTGAGTCCATTAACTATAATATGAGCCCTTTGGAACTTGGACAATAAACAGGTATTTTGATCAAACAAGTTCACGAACTGTAAATGGAATCCCTTGAAAGTTTACACACAGTCTAGAGTTCATGGAGGGTAGAAATCACAGAGCAGATGCATAGTGAACCTGAAAAAGGAAGAGGCTGGTGAAAAAACACTCCACCAGAAAAAAAACAATCATGGAGAAACTGCTGCTAAGGGTTGGAGGAACTGTATGATATTTGCAGTGGGCTCGGTTTCTGAGGAACAATTGCCCTTGTGCAGTGAAGAAAGACATAGGAGAAGAATGTGCTAATATTTGGTTGCATACTGTATCAGCAGGATAATCAATACATTCTGCATAAAGAGAGCATCTGCCTGGCTCAATAAAGTGATTATTCAGAAGGCCTCATTGTCTGTCCTAATGTAGTACAATCTAGTAAGATACAGGGAAATAGGAAGTGAAGAGAAGAAGTTAGAATGGAGAAATATCTAAAGAAGTAACATGGCAGTAGTAGAAATAATAGTAGCTGTAACAACCGCTTATGTGTAAACCAGAACTTCTTCATTTAGTGATGAGAACAGGGCCTCTTTTTAAAAAAATTTATAACTATCTATCTATCTATCTATCTATCTATCTATCTATCTATCTATCTATCTATCTATCTATCTATCTATCTATCT